TATTATTATTATTATTATTATTATTATTATTATTATTATTATTATTATTATGGCTAGTTATCTCAACAAATCTATTGTGCACGAACATTATTATTTGGGTACAGTTGAGAAACAAGGTCTATTATCTGAAACCTAGATATTCCTTTCCTTTCAGATTTCGTTCACCACAGGGGTCAAGCGGGATTGTCAAACGTATTGATTAATTGATAACAATGATTTAGAATCGTGAAACATGGCGTGGGTGCTCTAGATTGCATGATCTGTGCGGCCTAATATGGTCGTCCCTCAGGCCAAGTCCTTGCAAAGCTGCTTTACTTAATAATTTAAGGTATGAGAAAAAAATTTCTCGAATCTTACTCTCCTTCCTTGGAAGGAAGTGACTCGAGAAAATATTTTCAGAAGACACGTGCATAATTCTTAATCCGTTGAAAACCAACGTTAGACATTTTTCAATTCAATTCGATTTCTCAGTCAATTTAGATTACCAAACTTTGCCTCTTAACACTGTAGCTATAAAATAGAATTCCAGACGTTTGCCCAATTTCATTCTTTTTCAATACTTTTTCACCTACCTGGATTATCAAATTTATCATTTGTAGCCCTCTTGCTCGATCCTTCGTGAACTAGAATTATTGTTTTATTATCGAAAAGATAATTGACAGCCTGAAACTGTAACGTAAAAGAAAATCCCATTATACTTCATAAAACCCCGTTGCATTTCACATATACGTTTTGTAGGGAAAAATCTCTGAAACGGTGAAAACTATCAAGTTAATCGCTTAATCCATCTCTTGTATTACGCCGCGTGTCCAAGCGATCAGATACGCGATCTTTCAATTAACCCGCCGCTTAGAAAGAGGATCCACGACCGATCTGCTTGCCAGATGTCGGAGGTGGAGGAGAAATAAAAGGTTCTTGGGTAGATCGAAAGGACAAGTTACATAATAAAACACATCGAGCGCAAAAAGTCACGGTTTCTCGGTACTTTCGCGCTGCTACTCTCTTTTCTTTCGCTTTTTCTCACCTCTGCAATGACTCGATGTTTTTGGCGAACGTATTTTTTTACATCTTACGCTCGTGCGTATCTGAAATTGCTTGTTTTATAAATGATCAGGGAATGGGTCAATCGAGCGCAAGAAATGGCACCGTTTCACCGTTTACCAATTTAATTCGCTACATTTCGTTGCTATAAAATTATCCAAAATTTTTATTTTTTCCTATTTTATATATATATATATATATATTATACAGACTTAAATTATTGCAATTCTAAATGTTACTCACTCATAAATTATTGCAAGTATCTATAATAGAAATTCTCTGTACGAGCTTTTTAAGAGAATCAATCTCGAATATTATAGCTGGTATCTACGTAAAAAATTGAAATTTTTGTGGGAGTTTTACAGTCGTGGGCGTCGATTTCTTTTTTTTTTTTTTTTTTTTTTTCTTTTTGCGATATAACGCGTTACGTTGGAACGTGATTAATTAACCTGCGGGGAGTTAAATTAATTTTAGGTTTTGAAAAATGGATACGATTTCAGAATGATAAATCGCGAATTTAATGCCGTTTGCTCGGCTTGGAAATTTACGTTCCACGCGGGTTCTATTCGCGACTACGAGCAGAGGAAATTAATGGGTTCGCGTTTCTGCGATTTGTATGAAGTAGAGAAGTATAGGAAGAGGAGAGCCAGGTTGGGTAACTGCCTCTTAGGTAACCCTCCTGGTGGATCTGTTTCAGTAATTGTCAAATTTGTTTGCTGATTTACGATCATTATCGGCAATTGAACGAATCGTCTCCCTCGATTTCCATTTCTAAATCATTGAGAAACAAGTTCGCCGATGGAGATCGTGTGATAACTCAGCGTACAAGCGTAATTAGTAAAAATGGAGGAGTGAAATTTCATTTTATTATTAGGAAGTGGATGTGCATGGACGTTTATTTATTTCATTTACACAGCATTGTAGTGTTCAATTTTCCAAACTGAAGAAGAATCTATGCTTTATAAATCTTACAGATAATCGTAGACACAGCCGTGTCATCGAATCTACGCATCGAAAACCACTCGGAATAAATGCTACATGTAAATGTAATTCCAAGAATTAACTGACCAGGGATAATTAATAGCCGCCTGTCGTTAAATCTCCGTGAATTTCATAAAAGTAACGAGTCGCAGATGAAGTCGTCAGAACTGGTCGCCGACAGACAGAGACGCTCTTTTTCCCGGAACACGGAGTGAATTAATCTGACAAACATGGTCGACGATCTAAACGATCGATCGCGGATCTCGGCAACCGGCTTGCAAAATACGAACAAGATCCGCTGGCTATGTCTGTAGGAAACAGTGGCGAAGTAATACGCGGCGTGAAACGAGTGGGAGAGCCTCTTACGACAGTCGCATATCCGCGTGGCAGTTACGCGACGTTTGTCGCTCTTGTCTGCGAGGAACGATAAAAGGAAATGGCCTCTGGTATCGCGTATCTGTACAATCACTCGCGAGAGAGCCACGGTTCACCTAGATATGCTAATATGATTAGAAAAGAGCAAGGGACATTTGCAAGGCTTTTCCTTCGCAGCCGACTGGTAAATTGCAGCTCGACACTCTGATACTGCTAAGGCCATTGCGTTTCGCCAGGGTGCAGATTGTTTCTGCATTTGTCAATTACGTTGCATTGAACGTTATATCGAACGTGATATTTCTTCTTTCAAATCCTCTGTGACAGTTTGCAATATTCCCTCATCAATATCTTCATCGTGCAAAAGAGATCTCTGGCGTAAATGCCTGGCTAATTATGAATTTTCTTTGACATTAGACGACAATCGATTGGCTCGCACGTAATAATGTTGCGATAAAAATGGGAGAGAGTGACCAACGACATTTCGAAGATTTTCCTTGAAACGGAGGTGTTTCAGTTCGATAATTATCAAAGGTTAGCTGCTCAACGTGCAAGATTCGCGTGCACTTTCTGTTCAAGTAATGTCTCGTGATTTTTTTTCAATTTTTCAGTTATTTTCGTCGAATGTATTCACGTGTAGACGTAATTGAACTGCGTTTCGAAGTTTACACTGCCGTTCAATTCGTCGCACGTATTTAATGCTAATTTCCAGCTAAATTGCAAAATACATTTACGTAATCGAAATAACTGCGTTGTTCTTTCAATCGATTTTATTACTGATTTATATTCTTTTTTATAATTTCGTATACCGAAAGATCATTGACAACAGGTTAATTGAATCGAAACACTACCTGTGTATCGTTACATTCTTCGACATTAAATTAATCATTATTTAAAAATTTTATTAAGTAATTAAGTCTCCCCAGAGAATTTACCAATCAGAATCTATCGTCAATTATTGTCAATTCAATTTTCGCTGATAAAAGGCAACTAGAAATAGACGAGCACGTTTCTTGGTTTCAGTTCAAATGATTGGGCCGGCGTGAAATTTCAATGTCACCCGGAGGATTGATTAATGATCGTCATAGCGGCTGATGAAAGTGTTATCTTATCATTTCACAATGCCACGTAACAGAGACCGCCATTGTCAGGCTGGCTATCTACGTGCTACCAGAACTGACTGGCACAACAATAACAGCCGAGCCATAGTCCCTGCATAATATTAACGCCACTCTCTGTCGTAACTTTATTATCGGCCAGCGTCCCTACAAATATGCTGACCCGTAGAAAACCGATCATAATTACCACTGGCACTCGCAATTTTCGTCGGAAACCGTCGGCTCAATCCCACCCGGGAATTAATTTGCCGGGAAACGAGCAAACGTTTCTGTTTGGAGAAAGAAGGAGATTTTCTAATTTTCGTCATTTGCATACGAGACTGGGATATATCCCAGTCTCGAAAACAAGAAAAGAACTGATCTGCATGTGCGATCGACCTTTTGTTTTTACAACGATATATATTTTATAATTTGAGTGTGCTTTCTGGAAAGCGTTGATGCACGTGAATTTCTCAATCTTCTCTCTGCCCTCGTGTCAGAATATATTTTCACGAACGACACCGTGGCGCAGGGCAACGTAATAATACGTTGTACACGAGAAATATATCAGAGTCACTGTACGTACATTGAGTGACAATTAATTCCGTTTGGGTCACAGTTCGTCAGGTCGACCCGCGAAAGAGTCGTACACTAATAACTGGAGCAAAACGTTGTGTAAGCCAGTGGGTGGCCGCCTTTCTCCGCTGGCATTAATACGATCGTTGTATGCGAGAACAGCGATTTCTGCAGCCACCGGGGATCGGATTCTTTTTACGCCGGTGCCATTAGTGCTAAGTTCGGATCGGCTTTGTGTGTAATAATTAGAACGGCCAGGCCACTCGATATTTTAATTATGTTACAGCCGTCTTAATTGGGCTTGATCACGGTGTCGACAGATCACCAGGGAAGTTGATAATCATGATGAAATAATAATATCAGGAATAACATGCTCGCAGGAATGGATTGCACGATTGATACTAGAATAATGGATACAGTAATTTTACAACTTGGGTGTAATTATGAATTATTATTTTCCCCTCTTCCCCTCCCCTCCTTTTCTCTCTTTCTCTACAGGTAATTGTGAAATGAAATTTTATACCTGCATTTTCCAAATGGAACCATGTAGCTTTCGTTTGAGCTCGATTAATTGGATCGCGTTATGCAAAAGGATAAAGGTTCGAGATAAGGATCGTAATTGGATTTTGTTCTCTCTGCGTGAAGAGAATCAATCTATTTTTTATTTTTTTTAGGAATTGCTCTTTCCTGTGTTACAGTTCAAGCTGTCGCTAATATTCATTAATCTTCAATATTCATCGATCATCGAGTTTAGAATGTTCCCATTGAAATGTAAGACAAATCATCTTTGACAATTTTTTTTCTTTTAGAAATGGTAGAAAATTATAATTTTTCTAGTTTCTAGGCTGATCGTAAAGAAAAATCGATTACAAGTTTAAGAAACGTTACGTTCTTCTTCCATTGTGGCCATTTCAATTGCAAATGAATCCGGTGTCCATTCCTGTAAAACCTTTCACTTCATCGGGAATTCGTAAATTTCATTATCGCGCGAAGATTTTATGCTAATGCAATTAACCGCACTCAACAATATAAAAAAATCGACCAGTTCTCCTTCCGTTGACCTTTAAATCGGTCGTATTTCATTCAAAACAAGTTAAGTTTTACGTCCACGTAACATTTCATCGAGGAATATAAACTGTTTGTTTAATGACTAGATAAGGAACGATTGACAAAGACTCTAAAATTAAGATAGATTAGAAAATTTTATAGATAAAGATTGATAAGAAATAACGCAGAATGTAATCTCCGCTTCAGTGATCAGATGTTGACAACTAAACGTACCAAGCGGGGTCGAATGATCCTCTTTTCAAAATTTACTTTAAAAAAGTAAATATATGTTTGAGTATTTTATTAGATATCAGAAGTTATGTTGCAAATTATTTCCTTTAATAAAGTAAGAATTTCTTTCTAAAAATCAACGTTTATTCATAAGATTAAGAATTTCTTTCTAAAAATCAACGTTTATTCATAAGGAGTCAAATGACCTTAAGAATTTCTTTCTAAAAATCAACGTTTATTCATAAGGGATCAAATGACCCATTTTCAAACTTTACTTTAAATAAAG